ACAATAGAAAGGCATGGGAAAACGAAGAAAGTGTCAACCTTTTAAATTGCAGTCGTAGAGGTGCTTATAGATGAACCCGTAAGCAATATTTGCAAAAGACAGAGAAGAATGGAAGTGAGCGTGGTAGAACGTGATTACAAACCAGAGGCCTTTGTCCATGTTCATATACGTATAGATTGTGGTATGTATAACATTTATAAATCAGAAACATATGTATGGCCGAATCATTGTTTGATAACTTCAAAACTGGGTCACATTCAGCATTCAAATTACACTACTTGCGTCCTCCTTCACACAACCGCACCCCTCGCGATCCCTTCACAGATGACCCGACTCAGGACACTTTGAGTTCTTAAAGTTACGTCAGTTACTTACCGGATACAGTGACTTGAAATGAACATTCCACTGTATTTCCTCTGTCATCGGTAAAGATGTATTTGACAGAATGGATGCCTTCTGGAAATACGTCACCAGGTTTTTTGCCAACACGACGAACTTTTGGTTCGACTCCTGAATTGTCTGTAGCATGCGGTTCAGTCCAACTGATCCTCTTTGAATTGGAATTTCTATCAGCATATTCCACAGTTGTGTTGGGGCAAGAATTACCAAAGTTAGGCGGGGAAACGTCTGTTTAGGAAAGCATAGACACGGAATAGAATTAAAGTTGAAAGTGAAATTGTCCCTCAGAAATTGTCAGCCCGTGTTAATGAGATGCACTATTCCACAGCTCTATTTATGTTACTTTTTATGGAGGTTCAGCTCCAAGTCCTTTTTTTTTTAATCCATGAATAACAAGCTTCTTTCCTAAAAGTGCTACTAGAACTTCTTCTTTTTCTTATCAGTTTTCAGCTACAATTACGGCAAATATCAAGACAAAATTGACACGAAAACTATACTAGTATTTTAAAAGGTCCACGTACTTCTTAGAGAATTGGACCGAGACGGGCTTGCCTGCGAAGCTGGTGGGATTTTCCGCGCTGGTGTTTTGCTTCAGTGGCGGAGGCCAATTTAAGTAAGACTGATTGTAGGTAAGTTAAGTTCCCTCGCAGCTTCGTCGCTTGCAAAGATTTCTTCGCTGCTCTGTTGTCGAACTTAAGAGGCCCTGCGCCTAAGAAACGACCGATGATTTCCGGCTAAAAAATAAAATCGGCCGATTTTTATCTCCCAAGTAGAGGTTACCGAATACNTAACCTCTACTTGGGAGATAAAAATCGGCCGATTTTATTTTTTAGCCGGAAATCATCGGTCGTTTCTTAGGCGCAGGGCCTCTTAAGTATTCGCTGGTGAAATCCCACCAGCTACACAGGTTAAGACCGGTACAACGTACCTCTACAGAAGGTGTTCGCGGTGAAAGACCAGTCACCGCTCTGGGTGCAGGTTTTTACGGAAGGTCCTTCAAGCTGGTATCCTGAAGTGCATTGGAACCGACACTCTGTTCCGTAGGAGGAATTGGTCAGTTCGCAAGATGCAGGTTCCACTGAGAGTTCTTTTGAGTCCACAGGAAGTGGGTGACATGTCACAGCTTCAGCATGAAACAAAAACTCTCTTACTTCACAGAAAATACTACAATGACAGCGTTTCAATATTCGATTATCTAAGACAGAACGTAATAATAGTGTTATTTTCAAAAATTGTGCTCCATTTGGTGGTGGTCTTGGGTTACTGAGAGCATGGCTTAGAGAGAGAAACCGAAAAAAGACCTAAACTAAATTTTGCGTTTAAAAGTCTACCCGGCCATTTCATGACTTTCCCTCTCAGTCTCTGGTCTGAATAGGGTGAACTCTTAGTGGAATTCTAAAACAAAATACACAAATCTCTATTTGAGAAACAATTTTCATCTAGAAAAGATGCCATCTGGAATGGTCCTTTACAATATTTTGATTCGTCAAGGTGTAATCCCGTTTAAAACATGTTTACTTCACAGAATATGTACTCACGGATGATATTCTCGAATCTTAAATACGGATTGTGAAGTCAACGATCGTGCATTGCGTAAGTCGAATCACAATTGCTCCATGATATGTTCGTTTTTCTGACCTTCACATTGAAGAAGTGAGCCACTCCATGCTTTGTCAGCATTACACACTATAGAATGAGAGCCTTCAATGCGTTTATATCCCTGACGGCAGTTGAAAAAGCAGGTTGTCCCAAACTCGGGAGCGCTGTCTTGACATCCATTTCCTGACATATCAACGTTGGGAGGTACTGAAATGGCTGGGCACTTGACCACTGCAAAAACAGAAATGTCATGGTACAAGTTTATACTTTACAACTGCACATAGCTGGCTGCCTGGGAGGCCCGCTTAGCAAATAGAGGACAGCGCCGAAATAGTGGTGAATACTGAGTCACTAACAGTGACGAGTACTTAACGGTTCAGCCTGAATAGCAATAAAGTCAAATTAAATAGCACTACAGTTAGCTCATGCATAGTGTACTAAAATGACAATGGTTAACTCTCAATAGCTGAAAGGGGACATCTTGTATTATTAATAGCCATATGAAACTGACGTTGAGTCAGAACTATTTAGGCTAAGCGTGGCGCTATTAAGACTTACGTGCTTGACCCTGGTGCTATCTGGGTTAAATGTGACTATTCTGCACCCTACTTTGTTGGCTATTTACTATTTGTGTTTTCCAAAACACCCCATGGAAATTCTTTGGTTTGCAATTTACGAACAGGTCAAAAGGAAAGATTGATGATCGCGGAACACTATGTCCCAATCTAAATGGGAAAATGAAAGGTTGCTGGTTGAGTGTTGGGTTTCCTTCTCATTTTTTTTCCTTTTTCAAATTTTTGTACCTGAGAGTTATCATGGCAGGTTTAGTTCTTGGATAGCTTATTTTCAGAGAGGGTATATAATGTAATTTTTCCAATTGCAAGTAGCTATAGTGAATGTAATCAAAATGATGAATTCAACCATATCAACTGCAGGTGTTTACCTGTGCAATTTGTCTCTTCCCCTGTCCAATAAGCAAGGTCATCCTCACTCTTCTCGCATTCCCTGCGAGGGCTCAGTTGTTTATCCTCATACCCATTAAGGCATTTAACCCCGCACTTGGTACCAAGTAAATTACCGCAATTTGTCGGGTCCAGCACGCCATTTGGAGGCGCAACCAAAGCATTACATCGAAGAACTACATAAACAAAAGAAAAGACCTGTAGTTCAAATCATTTTCTGTATTCGGAGTTGTTGAAACCGGCAAACGTAGTGTTCGCGTTCTTGATCTAAATGTAAATCTTTACTGTGCAGAAACTCCCGAAGTGGACACGGTAAGCACATGGACACGGTGAGCAGTTTTTTAATCGCGATTGTAGAAATGACATTTAGATATTATTTCATTAATGTCTGGGTCCTGCTTAAGAGAGCAGTAGAACTAGTATTTTGAATATACTGACCGGGGTGGATAGTTCCACTCTGGGATGACAAGTGGGAGGAAAGGTGATCTATAACAGTTCTTATGTGTCTGGGTGTTTCTCTATTGGTATTGCCCTGTATTGTCTGGTTGCGCGGCAACGTTCGACCAAGATCTTTTTATCAACATTCACAAGACCATGGACAATTAATTGAAGATAGCTCTCCTCACTTTGCCATCCATGGTATTGTATCATTTGTGTTACACTGGATTCTCTGTGGTACACTTCTTTGACAAAAAGTGCAGCCCTACTACTTCTAGATTGAACCGACGAAACATTTTGTTTAAGAAATAGAAAAAATTTACCGTGCTTGTACAGAGTTATAGAAAGCAGAGTGGACAAAAAACAGGAAAAAAACTTGTTTACCCAGCGCAGGTTCTGCCTTAGTACGCATAAATACTTGAAAAGGGCTTCACATTCCCAAGAGCAATTTAAATCACACATCTCAAGAGCTAAATGATACCAAGGGATTAATAGCTTGTTTCTTTCCACTATTACGATTAATTGCAGATCAGAGTGCAGAGACCACATTCTACCTCAGAACCACACGGTCAAAATATATACCCTAATCATACATACCCTTTAAACCGCAAACGTCTATATGGCTTACATAAGGATGTTCACCTATATACCTTATATAAAGGGGTACCCGACTTCCCCGAAAGAACGAGAATTGTAGGCAAAGTTAAACCGACAACTGCTACCTTTCACTTCTACTATAAAAGAGCATGTTTGTGAATTTCCACTCAAATCCCTTGCTGTAAAAGTTACGACGTGGGTTCCTTCTGAAAATTTATGTGATGTATCTTCCGGCGAAATCTCTGCTGGAGTAACCACCATTTCAGGAACTTGACCATCATTATCCTCAGCCGTAATTGGCGGCCAGAAAACGATCTTGTCAGTCTGTCCTTTTTCAGCAATGACAGATTGGTCTGGCGGACAGTCACTGGTAAACTCCGGTTTTGTATTATCTATGGATGAGACGAGTATTAAAAAACAACAGTACTAGGTTGGGGTTATGAGGAGAATACAGCTAAGTAGTTCTGCCAAGTCCCTCCAAATTTAGCATTTTGATTTATTTAAAACAGAATATAGCTTCTTCGTTATCGCAGCTTACATTTTTATATTCTTAGTCATTTTCGTGGTCATAGCTATCTCCCGTGACGTCACGCGGCGTGACGGCACGGGACGTGGCGTGGCGTGGCATGACGTGACGTGGAGTAAGGTGGCGTGTCATTCGTCAAGAATAGAGCGGTGACAGTGTAAAACAAAGTCATACCTATAGCGCCATAGCAGTGACGACGATTGTATCATTACATCTAGAGTGCAGTCTGTCTACAGCATAGTATCACTAAAAATAACTAAAAGGAAACCACATGTCGCAGTTTCATAAGTCCCCTCTTGAGTTGGCTTTGCAGTTTACGTTGGAGTCCCGTTGGAGCCTAAAGAATTTGCCCAATTAACGGGTTACTTTGGTATCTTACCGACGCAACTGAAAACTGGACTACTACTCCAGACTCCATTGCTACAAGAAGCTTGAGTGTTATCCACTTCGAAGTTATCCAGGCATGAAAAGTAGCATGTTTCCCCATGAGGCGGACCAGTCTCACAAAAAGAAGGAGTTACTTGTCCACGGTTAGGAAGAACCACGGGGACACATTTTTTCACTAATACAGAAAAAATCCTTTTGAGTAGTAGTAGCAGTAGCAGTAGCAGTAGTACCAGCAGCAGTAGTACCAGCAGTAATAGCAGTAGCAGCAGCAGCAGCAGCATACAGTATACAGCAGCATACAGCATACAGCATACAGCATACAGCAGCAGCAGCAGTAGCAGTAGTAGTAGTAGTAGTAGTAGTAGTAGTAGTAGTAGTAGTAGTAGTAGTGTGTCAAGTGTCAAGATATTTAGCTGCTAACAAACTAATTGGGTACACTAATTACGTCGTAAATAAATACAAAAAAGAGTAAGTTATTCACATAATTTAAAACGTAACTTAAATCGTTCGTAAAAACGTAATAAATAAATAGGTAAATAAATAATTGAAGAAAGCAATTGTTTACAAAGATGAACAAGGAAGAGAGATAAAAGAAAAATCCTAATAAAGAAGATACATATTCACTAGGGTTTTGATCAAATCAACTTCTTAACTCGCTAAAACTTGCCAACTAAGGTTGGTTGGCTTATTTATTCATTTATTTATTTATTTATTTATTTGCTTTTTTATCTTTTGAGGTAGCAAACCCCATCTTGGAATGGTTGAGAGGACGAAAACCAACCTGAAGCAATCTATAGTTAGTGTAGAGGGAAAGAGGTATGAAAACTTCCAGGTTGGTGCTCACGTGGCATAAACTCTCCCACAAAAACCAAGTAATGTCAACAACCACCATGAATTTTGCCTAAACATGATGGGGTGGATCGATACAGGATTTTGGAGAAGAGGGTTTCGAGATAAGGATGGCCTCGGATATGGGATTACGGCATTCTGAGGCCAAGTCAGCGTGTTATAATGTCCCATTTTTTTGTTATTTAGGGGGTAACACCGAACCCACCGAAACCCCCAAACCTCCCCCCTTCCACCTCCGCTATAACCGCCCCAGACATCATAACACAAAAATGCTTACCTGTACATCTAGGAGAGTTCCTTGGGTTCCAGTTGCCTTGTGGAGTGCATACAGTCGTTGAAGTGCCTTCAAGCTGGTAACCAAAGTTACACTCAGCTCTGCATATTGTATTCACTCTTACTGTTCGTCCATCACCACAGTCTTGCTGAGGTGTTTTTACGCCATTATCCGGAGTCGTCCAATCACTTGTGGCGCAACGATTTTCTATGGAAATAATTTTTCAACTTAGTCTTTTTTTTTTCATTATTGTTTCGGAAATTTTAAAGTATGCTTTCTTTGGTTTCTTTCAGTTGTTGTTGGGACATCGATGTTTTTTTCAGCCTCGGTAGCATTTAAACTTTTCGCTCTATGTACATGTAGTTGCATTGAAACTTGTATCTTTGCCTTTACTAACGCTTTTCACCTCGAGAAGAGAAAGGTGCTTTTATTATAAGAAATTAACTTAAAGGGTGTTGTTGTTATATTTTTAAGGCTTCTTAGCATTTTTTGTACTTGAGTTTGTTTATTTGAGGTCATTTTAGTGGTCCTCTTACGAACTGAAAAATCAAGAATTCTAAAATGGCGGATCCCAGATGGCGGCTGTTTGGAACCCATGACGTAATTACTCAATGATATGACAACATCATTCCATGTTGCCTACGTCAAAGGAAATACAACTCGTGGTTTCTCTCGGAGGCAAATCTACATAATATATTTATAAAGTCGACGATGTAATTGTAAGCATGCCTGGGTAAAAGGACCGGTCAGAAAGCTGGCCACCAAAATTGTGATGGTTGTTTAGATAACCTGATGAAAGAATCGAACATGATCCAAAATTCTCTATCGTTGTTTAATGGAAGCCTTTTGTGCTTAAACACCAGTGCAGAACAAACGAATGGTCATATGTTATCGTCATGGCATAGTGCGCCAAACATAGACACAGTGTATTACGGCCGAAATTTAATTTCTTTTTTTCAAGGGTACGACCAGCCTTTCTTCCCTTCGGTTGGCTTTTTTCTCTCACCGTAATTTTTGAGCGACTCTGAACTCCAAAATCGAACAAAACCTTTTCGCTCCACGGAAGGGCTAACGAAACTTGACCATATTTGGCAAGTTCTTAGTATCCACATACCAATACATGAAGTTCCACTGCGTTTGTATCCTGGAAGGCATGAGCAGGTATGTCCCGCGTCGGTTTCCTTACAGATTTGCTCACAGCCCCCATTGTTGCAACTGCATTCGTCACAGTCAACATATCGGGTACAAGGACCTGAACAAGAATTTCCCCAACAGCTGGGACGAGGATTAGTACAGCGTCGAGTCTGACGAACTTTGCCACTGCAACTGCAATGGTCTACTGGATCTGGAGACCATCTACTCCATCCGCCATGTACTGCTACAGGTAGAAAAACAGAATACGTGGTTTTCTGTAGACGACAGTTGAGATGAGCTACAATGAAAACATGTAACCTGGAGAAAACTGCTGGTTAACCCTATCTAGGGCTGGGGAGAAGGCGGGGGGGCTAGATTTCCCGCGCTGATTTCAAACTTTCCTCCCTAAAGAGAGCATTCAAACTTTTAATAGTGGTCAACTTTGTGACTTTTTCATCAGTGAATTAGTGTGATATTGGATGTTTTAAGATTATATCCCTAAATCCTCACAGTCAACTTTGGAACTGTTCTGACATTTCTGCCAAATTTGGTCATGCAACTAAACAGACCATGCAACTGGTCATACATTACTACTGAAGCACATGTGTATAGGCAATATTGTGAGATAGTGGCCTGGTTACCCAGCGCTGACGTGAGATAGCGAACACAGTTGTTGTATGTGGGACTTTTCAGAACTACGGAATTAGAGAGGCTTCACAAAACTGTTGTTGTGTTCTTTTATGCCTCAAGATCCTTACAACACGAACAAATAATGCATATAAGAATCATGCAAGAATAATAACTGACAACTTACTACGACATGTGCGCCTTCTTCTGCTGCAGCTATGTGCAATCTCCAACAATGAAGTCGAGATGATAAAGATTAAAATGCCCAGCTTAAAATGTATTAGCATTTTGTGAAGAATCTTTCCTGAGGTCCAAAATGCCACTTTATTCTCGTTTGAATACCACTTGGCCTTGTTTTCTTCTCTCGCTGTGTTTAAACCTTGAGGAAAAAGCGTTTCCCTAAAAGAAAATGAAAATAAATTAAAAATGACGGTAAGCTACGGTTTGGATCCTCGCTACGACCTACCTTACGGAAAAAAGTCCATATATTTTTTCTCGTTTTTCACGAGAAAAAGTAAAACTGCTTAATTATAAGGATAAATCAGTTTAACTCCACCTTAGCTATAATTACGGGCGTTTTATACCAACTTTATCGATGAGAACAGTGTCGATCAAGGAAGGCTATTTAGAGCTACCAAGAAACTCCTTTCCAGAAAGGATGAATTATCTTTTCCTGACTATCATGACAAAACGGCCCTAGCCAATGACATCAACGGCTTTTTCGTTCGTAAGATCACCAGAATTCGT